CCATTGTCGCTTCTCATTTTCTTGATGGGGCACTTTTGAATCATTTGCCTTCTTTTCACTTACTTGAGCCTTACCACACAAGCAACCCTTGCCAATGATCTCATTGAGTCTAGCAATTTCTTTTCTCATTGCCTCCATGTTTGCAAGGTTAGTGGAATAAGCATTCATATCAATATTATAACATTTTCCACAACCTTGACTAGTGGAGGTAGTAGAGACATCCTTTGCCTTAGAGGGATGTGAGTTGCTATCCCAAAGAATGTTATATTACAGCTCAAGTTCTTTGTGCTTTTCATCTAAGTCACAATACTTTTTCTTGAGAGCAATATTTTCTTTCTTTGTGATAGCATGGTCCCCTTGTTCTTTGGCCAAGGCCTTCCACAAGGATTTCACCTCACTTCTCTCTAATGCAAGAGCTTCCTTGCTAGCAATGTAGAGATCCTCTTGTTGGATAAGAGTTTCCTCTCTAGATTCTAGCTCTGCTTGGACACTCTCTAAGTCCTCCATTAGTTTAGTGAAGAATTATTTGGTCTTTCCATCTAAGTTCTTAGTTAATTTATCAATTTCTTCATCACTAGATTCATCATCACTAGAGCTATCACTAATATCACTACTAGAGATATCACTAGGAGGTGGAGGTGGAGGAGTTTTGGCCTTGGATTTAGATTTTACCTTCTCACCCTTTGCCATAAGACAAATGTGAGGGGAGTAGTAGTATCATCGGACATGTTGGTGAAGAGTCTTGGTGAAGAAGATGGCTCATGGATATCAATGGTTGCAACTTTCTCATCTTCTTCACTTGAGCTTTCAATAGATGAATCCCATTCATGCCCAATGTGAACTTCTCCCTTGTTTTTCTTGCTCTTTCTTCGGTCGGCCTTGTCCTCCTTCTCTTTCTTATACTTGTTCTCCTTGATCTCATGTGGGCACTTGGCAATAAAATGATCAGTGCTTCCACAATTATAGCATGTCCTCTTCTTCTTATTTGGAAACTTCCTCTTTACTACCTTGTACCCTTGCTTCTTTAACCCTTTGTGAAACCTCCTCATAAAGAGAGCAACATCATCCACTTTCTCATATTGTTCATCATCATGTTCACTCTCACTAGAGGATGAGGTGGTCTCTACTCTTTCTTGAACTTGTTTGATTGCTTTGGGCTTACTAATTAAAGCTTGCTTGTTGGTCTTGGACTTGTTTGTAGAGCCTTGCCTGCTTGATTTGTTGGCCTTGAGAGCTACATCCTTGTTGATCTTGATGCCTTCTAGCTTTGCTTGCAATTCTCCAAGCTTTTTCCTCTCATTTGCTTCTTCTCTTTGCATGTCAAATGTCAAGATCCTCCCAAGTACATCATTTGGTGTGAAGTACTCAAACTTTTTCTTGTCTCTAATTAGAGTTACTACGGTCTTATTTCTTGGTGAATAAGCTTCCAACATAGTCTTGACCACTTTGTGATCATCTAGCTCATCACAACCATAGCCTCTAATCTTGCCCACCATGGTCATCAACCTATCAAACATCTGTTGTGGTCATTCTCCATCCAAGATAACAAATCGGTTGAGCTTGGACATCAATAAATCAATTCTTGCTTTTCTCACTTTGTCAACCCCTTCATGTGCAAGGTGCAAAGTATCCCAAATTTGCTTGGCAACATACACACCAATCACTTTATTGTACTCATCACCATCCAAGGCACTAAGTAGCACACTAGTAGCATGACCGTTGCGGTGGATGATTCTCATTTCTTCCATGGTTGGATTCTTGGGATCAACCGATGGCTCAAATCCATTACAAACAACCTCCCAAATGTCGGGATGAAGACCTATAAGATAGGCTCTCATCAAGTGCTTCCACTTGGCAAAGTTAGTCCCATCGAAATGAGGTAACTTGCCCGTGGGCACATTGATGAAAGACTTGCGATCATTGTTAGTCATAGACATAGAAGAATAGTTAAAGGATACGGCGGCATATTTGTTATCATCATTCTTCTTGCCCTTTCCTTTCTTGTCCTTCTTGCTATGTACTTGGTAGGACTCATCATCATCACCATCTTCGGAGCTGCTAGATAGCTCACTTGAAGATGAATTGGAGGCTTTTGCTTCTTGTTCCTTCTTCTTTCTTGTTTCTCTTCTTTTTCTTCTAGCTTCTCTCTTAAGTCTTTTTTTCTTCTTTTCTTGCTTTCTTCTCTTCTAACCACTGCTGCTCCTTCTTCTTCTCTTTTGCTTCTCTTTTCTCTTTTCTAGCTGCCATTCTTCTTCTTCATTTTGAGCTTTTTCGGCATCGGTTGCCTCTACCTATGGGAGCGTGGAGTTGCTCGCTATAGAGGCGCTAAGCTCACTGCTGTTGGTGTCATGCAGTCCAACGTCCTCTGGATCGACGTTGATGGGCTTCACAACATCAGATCCTCCCCCGGGCTCCATACCTCATGCGGTGAAGCGCACACGAGGTAACCTGGCTCTGATACCACTTGTAGGATCTCTGGTATGCCTAGGGGGGTGAATAGGCCTGTAAAAATTCAACTTAAACCAAAGTCAAATTCACCCACGGTACTACCGCTCTATGAGCGCGGCACTGCCGCACCTATAGGAGAGATTAGTTCACAGTTCAAAATCTTTCCAATGAAATTTAGATCGAGTATATTTCTTAGCTTCCTGTAGGGTAGTAGATCACAGATCGACAGCTGAAAGTGGTGGGAACACCACACACAAGTAGATCAGCCTCAAACTCTAGAAATCACCTCAATCAACAATATGTCATGCAAGTAATATAAATCAAGCACATGTGACATAATGATTTATCTCGTGGTTTGGCTCACCACCAAGGCTTGCCTACCTCCACGTTGTTGAGGTTAGCCACTAGGACTTAGAGCTTTCTAGCTCTTCCTCGTTCTCAAGTCAAGAGACTTAACTCTTGAGATGAGGGGTGAGTTTACTAGCTTCAAGAGATGATTACAAACCTCCCGGCTGCCACACAAGTTGGCAAGCTCCACGGGCGATGCTTTAGCCAGCTAGGAGCCAAGCTCCAAGAGTAACAAACACAACCGCCGGCCAAAACGTGAACCAAGTGCTCTTTAGAGTTTGGGAATCAATGGAGCTGCTCTCTAATCGAGTTTGAGACCCTTTTTCCTCAAGGATTGATGGAGAAATCAATGAATTTGTTTAAGGTCTTGAGGTCAACAATGGAGTGAGAGAGAGAGAGCTCTTGCTCTATTTTGGGCATGCTGAAGTGAGAAAGAAGAGAGCTGGTTCGTTACCATTGGGAAGGAAGGGGAAAGGTATATATACCCCCGGCCCCAAACGGTCACTAAAATCGTAGATAACCGTTGGGAAGGAAAGGGAAAAGTATATATTTCCCCAGCCCTCAACAGACACTGCACCCAAGAGGTCGGGCGACATGAGGACGCGACCAAAGGGTCGAGCAAGCCAGAGCCCGTGACCTTAGGGTCGGGCGAGACGGAGCCCGCGACCAAAGGGTCGGGCGAGCCGGAGCCCGCGACCAAGGGGTTGGACGAGCCTCTCTTCAAGTGCGGCAGTGCCGCACCACGCAAGACAACAAGGGTAATAGTGAAGTGTAGACTGTCTTGACTGTGAATCTGAGGATGCTTGTGATTGTTTGAGCACTTGGTAGCACACATTAGCTTAAGCATTGTGCCCCCGTTTATAGTACGGTTTTTTCTATACTCAAATTCAATATATAAAAGAATTTAAACCTCCTTTGAGTTTGAACCCATCTACATTTGTAATTGGGGACTCCTCCGTTCCGTATAGCATCCTCGAATATAAGTTCCCTACTTGTCATCTCGATAAATCTCATTAGTTCTCTAATTGCGTTGTCATTATCACCAAAACCCACAATTAAGGCTTGATTGCACTTTCAAACATGTGCAACATCCACCGATCTACTTTTGTAACATCAAGATAAAACAATTGCAACGTACATCTGAAATGTCTAAAACACTTGAAACATACATATGCAACATAGGGAAGTGGAAGGCCGGGGCCAGTCGATTACTGTCGTCGAGGTGGGAGCCGACGGCAAGCCGCGGCGCGCGAGCACCCCTAGCACCGGTCGTGCTCGTGGGTGCCCATGGCTCGACCGAGGAAGACTTGACGCGCCACGGCACGTGTGCCCTAGCGGCCATGGCGGGGTCAGCGACGCACGCGACGGCAATGGGGATGGACGGATGATGATGGAGCGAGCGGCACAGGTGACTGGGACAGGGCGTAGCGCGGCCGGCGATGGGGCACGAGGCGGTTGGGGGAAGAGCACGGCGTGGTAGCCCGACAAGCGCGCGGTGGTGGAAGGCGGCGTGGTAGGGCGGGCGGATGTGCGTCCACGCACTCACGTGAGACGAGCGGATAAACACGGTTGATATATTTCTTTTTAGAAAGAAAGAGCAGAGTAAACGAGGATGAACCGCATACAGACGGAACGGATGCCCGTGGCCAAATACTGTGGTTAGAACAGCCCCAGTGTTGAACGAAATCTAACCGAGGAAAAGGTGAGCACGCTGCCCATCAGCGTTTGAACCCTAGGTTCGGTGCTGGTGTTCTCACCGGGATTTATTCCCATAATAACTTCCAGTGAAGCCTCTTAATGCGTGGTGCCACAAAAGGACTGCAACATTCCCGTCGCCTACAGAATCTGCTGGTTTCTGATAATCTCTCTAGAACACGTCTTCATATCTATGTATAGTTGTAGGTCTGCTCATATACTAGTGGTGTTTATATATATGGTGTAGGTGTGTGTCTGTATACAAATAGATGCTACAGCTATATGCATGCAGATAAGAGGTGGAAAAAAAAAACACCGTACCGATAACACTAAAGCCGTTGAGTATTCGTGTCAGACCGAAAATCGAACTCACAACCAGCCTCTCACATATTCTGGACCCACGCTCCCATGGTTCGAACGCACTGCACCTGCTCGGCAACTGGATAGAGAGAGAACAACTGAGGAACTGTAAGGCGCGCCCACGTCAGCAGGTGACGTCGGCTCGGCACATGCCCGCGCTGCCGAGGCTCGCCGCGCCGCCGCCGCCGGCGGCCGCGTCCGCACGCCGCAGGTCTCTGACTCTGCCGCCGCCGCCACGTCCCCCAGACTGCTCCTCCTCCTGGAACAGCCGGAGGCGCTCGCCGCTGCGGCCCTCGGCAACCGACGCTGGCGCGCCCCGCGGAGGCCCGCTCCCGGAGCCAGTGGAAGTCGACCAGCTCCTCCTCGCTGCCCTCCGCGCCGCTCGCATCCGCGACGAGGAGTCTCGCCGCTCAGGTACACCTGGCGACTTGTCTCGTGTTGTTGCTTTGATTGACCTTCCGATTTGGGTTGGTATTGCTGAACTGCGCGTGCGCGCCACCTGTTCGACGAATCGTGGATAAACTATAATTGCTCACGTGCTACCTGCAATCACGATTTTCTTTCACTTGGGGCAGGCCGAAACCATTGCATGCTATTTTGTTCTTCATTGTGAACTCATTTAACAAGGGAATGGAACAATCTGGCGGTCAGGTTTAATACTTGAAAGGAAGTCGGGTTACATGTTTTGGGAGATTATCCAGTTATATGCTCGAAGGTTATATATGACCTGGTGGAAGTAAACAGCTCTTGAGTAATATTGCAATATCACTGTGGAAGTGTGGATACTATACTAGAGTCCTGGTTTTTGTGATTCTTTTGCCTCGAATGAGGCAGCTTAGGGTTTAGCTTGAACAGAGAAGACATACAAACATGTCTATGTCAGTACACAGCTGTCTTCTGTTGTTGTCCTGTTATTTATTTTCTGGTAGGTTGATATTTCATATTTGTATTCTGTTGTCAGACTGCTGTTTTCACGTTGTTTGCTGTTTCAGCACAATGTGTTGGTTTATTGTGCTGCAAAATTATAGGAACAGAAATCATTATTATGTTTTTTAAGGTCGAGAATGCATTAATAACAACTGAGGTACAAACTTGATTACCAAAATATTTACGTGTGCAGATGCCTTATGCAACTTTCGTTATTTGCCTCTACTTCATTTTCTAGTCATTTAATCACATTGAAAGATGTCGGGGTTCCTCATGATGAGTCATGAGGCAAATGTTGATGACATATCCGCTACTGTTTGAACCATGTTGTACTCTTTTCCTGGGAAAGCTTTGATAAAAATCACCGTAGAGTATTAGCTTCTTTAGCTTTAAATATGTTCTATGATAGTTCCAATGTGATTTAATGAAGTTATACGCGTGCAGATCCTCTTTTCATCGATACATATGCTGCTGTTCTTCTTTCACATGATGTGGCACATCATCACATGGATTATCTAGATTCACATGCAGTGCCTTGGCAAGATCATTATAGGCTAACAACCAGATATATTGATGACAAATTACAGAATTTGATCAACAATTCAGAAGATATTAGACAGGTAAATTTAAGTAAATGTTATGCTAAACTCTTTCCTTCCAACCATTTGAGAATCTGCTGGCTCATTCCTTATAGGTTGTTCTGTTGACAGATGGAATGGACACTCGTCCGTACAGGCTGAACTGGCCAAGGTTGTCTGTTATATATGATGTGTCACCAGGAAAAGTATTCACTGCAGCAACTAAGCAGCTCAGAGGTGTAGTAGAGACTTATCAGTCACAAGTTTCTTCTTTTTGTTTGTTTTGAAGAATAGATGATAGGGCTTCCTTACCCATGTTTATGCTATAGTTCAATCAAAACATATGTATTTTCCATTTATTTTCCAGAAGATGCAACCATTAGTGTCTGAACCTATCTATTCTGGTCAGTTGAGGCACTACTAATAATTTGTTGGGTGGATTTTGAGTGCTCAAATATAAATTTTTTGTCAAGCTCTTCGATCCTTCAAAAAATAGATGTAGTAATGAAAAAAGATAGCTTTTCATCACAAATGTCAGTTATTTAAAAACAGATGTGGTAATAACCATTAAAATGTAACAAGTTCATTCCCTGTATACCCCTAATAGTTTCTTGTGCTATGCCTCACTGACATATTGGGCTGTTTATTCAAAAACATATTGGTCTCATAATGAGTAGCATGTTTTAGAGCATGAACTTATTCAGTGGCATATGAACGATTTTCTTACTTCTCTAAAGAAAACTTAGAGCTTTGGTAATGATTGCCAAGAACTCATGTGCATTTATGTTTCTTATGGTTCACAGGAACTGGAGCGAAAGTGTCGCGAAATTGTGTCTTGCTTCATACTTCTTTGGAATCCCATGATTTACAAGCGGGGTTGAGAAAAAATGGTTTCAACGGGAATAGGCTCAGCTTGTGGGTACTGCAGGTAATTAGCTTATCTTGTAAGCATGGTAAATTTTCAATTCGTTTCCTTATCATCATATTCAATTCTATCCAGAAAAACATATTTAAATAAGTGAAATTTACAAATGTTTTCATTGGCCTTGAGCACAACAGCAGTTCAGTTATGGTATATATGAATGTTAGTGCAGTCAGTAACAACACCTTGATAGTCTTCTTTTTCTAAAATTAAGTTTTATTGGCATTGCAGGGTTTACCTCTGTCCACAACCACAAGTTTGGAAAATCTCTTGCTTGTCATAAGCAATTTAGCAATGAAAGGAAGTATCTTCATAGGAGAACTGCCCCATTTTCCAGACTGTACAGCACCAATGGACATGGTTGATTAAATATATGTCAAAATCACATATTATCTTTTAAATGGGTTGTCAATAATAGCTCCCCTGTATGTTGTTTTGCAGGGCTTGGAACACGAGAATCTGGAAAAGCTTTTCTTTAATCAGGGCTTTCGAGTCAGCTTTGTGCAATATGACAATGTTGCAAAGGATATTGGCTTAGATCTAGCTACTCCATGGGAACAATGTGGCAGAATGCTTTTTGTTGCAGAACAGCTGCGGTTTTCAGATGCACAAGTGAGCCAATGAATAACTCCTGCTTGATTTATTTCTGTTACAGTAATTTTGAAGATGATCTGAAAAGATCTTGGGATCATTATCATGGCCATGATTTCAAATTCCTTTGTCAGAATATATCTTGGTAGAGGGACAATTAGCAAATTCTGACTGATTTCTGGTAGACACCATGACATCTAAATTCAAATATTTCCTAAAATGTCAATCTGACATATGTCTAGAACTATCTGTAACTTTTTTGCCAAGATCCAGACGAAAAAGTGCAGGTTTTACCTTTAGATGGCCTATGTTTAGTTATCACCGTCAATTCTGTATGAAATATATTACCAACAATACATATAGGTACCGTTGCATAAGAAAACACGTACTTGTAAATAAATCATTGAGGTCCATTGTGTATTGATTTAAAACCAATTTAGACTGTAAGAGGAAAAGGTACAGCAATCTTTTGTGTAGTTGGACAGCCAAGAGATCAGATCCTTACATCAAGTCTGTCCCTAGAAAAGAAAACACACTCACATGTGAAACCTATCTAGAAAAGTGGAATTTATTAATGAATCTCCAGTAGATTGCTAGCTCAGAAATAGCAACCGGTGCAACTTCTCGCTGTATCCATGGCCTGAAGGAAGATCTGGATTGCTGCTGCTCACCACCTGTCATAGTTTGCAGCAACAGTAAATATCGTTAGAACCTTACCAAATATCTTTCCAACAAATCCTTATAGTGATATCATCCTTAGGTTTGCAATAATGCAGGCCCCATAACATTCTCTGACGGCACGTTGAACATTCATTTGATTTTTTCCTTTTCCTGGGATTGGTAGATGGAGAGCTTCCGGATTCATTTTGAAAGAATTGATGCCGACGCTGACGAAGAAGGATTTGAGGAACTATAGTCAGTTCCGTGACATATGATTGAACTATAAGGCTTGATTGCAGTTTGGGCTTGTGCAGAGACCGCGACATGGATTCGAATAGAGCTGGTAAACGCAAGACCATTCTTGTAATCCGTGCCAGCTTTCTTCTTGGAAGGCAGAAGAATCAATGGAAGTGCCTATTGTTTATTTTTCATTTCACGTGTTCTCTAACGTTTTTGTATTCAGCCTGTTTGTATTCAGCCTGTTCGCTTGCTCGTAAACGATCGTAAATTTCCAGCCGGGAACAGTGTTTTTTTCTCACACCAAACCAGCCAGCAGTAAATAATCCACGATACGATACGGCCTCCTGAACAGGCTGTTGGAGCAAATTCGTGACTGAACTGAACCTGTGTATGGTGTATGGTTCACTTCCCTGAATACTTCCGCGTGACCTACCCCACTTCAGCTGCGGCGGCCTTGTGCATACTTGTGGCTTTTGTATTTGATGCAAAAAAAAAAGAAAAAAGAAAAAAGAAAAAAAAAAAGAAAACATAAGCATGGCATGTATGGGAGCATATAGGAGTCCCAGCTATGGAAGGAGCGATCAAAGTATTTAGGATGTAGCAGAAATGGATCTTGGTTTGTCATTGGAATTTACGCATGATATCATCGAGCAAGCCAGACAAATAAGACAAAAATAAAAAAAGTTCCGTTGCCGGGACTCGAACCCGGGTCTCTCGGGTGAGAGCCGAGTATCCTAACCAGCTAGACTACAACGGATTTTTGTGTTACATATCTGTCCTAACAAACTAGAAGTATTGTATTTTTGATTTCTCCTTTCCGCCTTTTTCAGTCCGTCTAATTCCAAGACAAGAGTGTGTTTCGTTGGCCTCCAAAACTTAGCAACCCTCCGCAATACATACCTCACAGCCAAAGATTTGGGGGTCTTCCCTGTTGATTCTGTTACCAACACACGCCAAATATTTAGCAAACAATTTTAGCGCTCCGCAGCTACGATCCAGACATTGGTTGTGCCCGCCCGTGGACAACTACGTATGTTCCTAGACCTGTCCGAACACGAGCTTACTTGGGTGTAGAGATGAAAGTGATCGAGCGAGAAAACCCGTTAACCGTTTCTATTTCCGTATTTGATCACGGAAAACAGGAACGAGAATAGGATATATAGCCAGGAATGAGAATGAAAACAGGGTATGCGGGAATCCAGAAGAACAAATACAGACAGGAACTAGAAACTTAAGCTAAGATCCGTGTGAGTCTTCCCATTGGCTTGTCTAATGTTCGAGTGTACGGTTTTTGGGTATAGAGTGAACAAACAAACTATTTTCATGTGGTTTAATTTTCCTCGCTCAGGTTTAATACTAAAACCCTTTTTTCTATCATCCAAAGCCATTGATTTTCATCTTTCAATCATCCGTAGTGGGTTTCGTAATTATGGTAGGTTGTCCTCTTCCTCGCCATACACCTCTTGCTCTTTCTATGCACACGTACAGGTGCACACAATTTAGCCACCCTCAAGGTCACACAAAGCAATTTATGGCCTTGGAGGCTTGGATGAGTCTGCAACCCAAGTTGCATGCACGTTAATTGGTCATGTTTGGCTTAGATTAGGCCTACACATTTGTGGGTTGAAGAATGTAATGTAATAGGCTGGGTTGGTCGTAGCCAGACTGCTACTTTCACAATTAGCTAGCTAGCTAGCTAAGCTCTAGATTAGAAGCTATGCATAATTCAAACAAATCCAAACAAAACCAATCTCTTTAGATCAGTTACAAACCACTTCAAACCCCACTAGCTAGTTAGAGATAAGGATAATGCTGTGGCTTCTGCAATTTCACGTCAAATCATAGAGCATAAGGATAAAAGGAACTTGATGCTGACCTAAAAGGATTGTTTTGATGAAAAAACTTGGAAGTTAGGTCACAATGCACAAGAGGAATGTGACCCCAATTTTGAATGCAAGGCAATCGAGGACTTGAACTGAAAGCTAATGACCTTTCTTGAGCCAAGTATCGCAACTGAGTGAAAGGTCCTGTGAGAACCCAAGAGGGAGGGGGGTTGAATTGGGTGACTAATTTCAAACTTAAATCCTAGGACTCAATTTAAACTACCACTAGAAAAACCATAAACTATTCTAGCAAGATATGCACTTAAGATTTTTCTAGTGTGCCCTAACTTGCCCTCAACTCAAAAGAGTTATGCAACTTAGAGACAATCCTATCAATTGTGTGTGTGTGTGGGGGGGGGGGGACTCCCCCCCGTTGACACTCAAGAAAAACACAATCCTACCAACTTTCCTATAGCTAATCTAGGAAGGTAGAGGTCATACAAGCAAAGCACAAGCGAAAGCAATAAACGTGGTAAAGTAAAGAGCTCAAGGTAGAGAGGGCAAACTCTCAGCAATGATATATCTTGTATATTAGTTGTCAAATAACAACCAATACTAGTCAACATTAAAGCTCCACAGAAGTATGCTCCAGGTCACCAAGTCTCTCTCGATCACGGTGTTGGATTCACCACACAAGTCATCAACCAACCAAAGGCAAGTGTCGTGAGTCACAAAGTCTCACTACCGCCACTTTGCTCTTTCGATCACCTAGATTCCGTGTACACTATGGATCTTCTCCACGTGAGGGAGGGGGTCTCCTCATCCCCCGCACATCAATACAATGCTACTCCACATAGAGAACTGATGGTCGCAACCTAGAAGGCCACCATGCCTTCAATGGAAGGCCACAAAAACCTCAAGCGTTCTGGCTCGCCAAGATACAAGGGCACAATAACCCTATCTCTCAAAGATCACAATCTCTAAGGTCTAAACTGTAACACCCTAGGTGTTAGTCATAAGCTAAGCCATGGGTTTAAACTTAAACACAAGATATCAAGTGATGATTAGGAGCTTTAGTTCGAAAATCTTCCAAAGTGGTGACAAAGGTGGTGAGATCAATTGTCTAAAACTAAGCCCCAACTTAAACTTTTAAAAGACAAAGACAACATTGTTTTGCAATTTGTGCATGAGTAGTGTTAACCATGTCTCTTTCATGTGCCTCACATAAGCATAAGCATGACCCTTTTTTCCTAGTGCGTCTCGTAAGGATTAATGCAGAGACTCTTTGAGGCCTTCACTATAGTAGCAGTGCATGCATTTGTGCAAGCAAATTATTCTTTTCAACAGTTTAGCATTTAAATAGGACCATCCATGCAGGAGTACATGACTTTGGGACAACCATGCTAGAAGAGTGGGCTAACTCCAACCCTGCAAGAAAAAGAAAGCACTACCACCATGACAAATGACATCTAACTAAGGGCTTGTTTGAATGCAGTCCAATCCACCCCAATCCACAAGTTTTGCGAGAGATTGGGATGGATTGGAGGGCATCTAAATAAGGCCTAACTAAGAACCCGACATAGGCATTCAAATACATTCCTCCCCATCCTGGACCTTCTCGACACCGGTTTCATTTTCATTTGCTCCATGTATGATCACTGGAGCCGGCCTATACCTCTTGGCAAACACCACGAACGCAAACAGATCCACGGCGTTGAGTGCTGCTATGAGGTAGAAGAACCAGTCCACATGACCTTTGTTGAGATCCTGAGGTATCCACCCAGGCCGGCCGCCTCTACAGGTGATGGTCATCACCAGAGTGACGAGAAGGCTGCTCGCAAAGCTCCCAGCCGACATGGAGGCGACGCTCATGGCGCTCCCGAGGCTCCTCAGGCCTTCCGGGAGCTGGTCGTTGAAGAACTCTGTCATGGTGACGTACATGAATACCTCGGAGGCCCCGATCAGCAGGTACTGCGGGATCTGCCAGAGGATGCTCAGAGTGCTGGACGCGTCGACGCCTCCCGTGGCGCGCATCAGCCTCTGCTGCTCCACCACGCCGGACGTGATCATGGCCGCGGTGGAGATCACGAGCCCGGTGCCCATCCTCTGGAGCTCCGTCGGCTCGTGCGATATCTTCGTCATGACCTTGACGATGCAGAACCGGTAGATGAAGACGAAGGCCGTCACGCCCAGTATCTCGAAGACGTCCATGCCGGCGGGCGGGATGGTCAGCTTCCACAGGGAGTCGTCCATGGCCTGTGCCTGCTCGATGAACACCGACGTCATCTGCGAGTAGGAGGTGGAGAAGAGGATGCTGCAGAGCCAGATTGGGACTAGCCGCAGGATGCACTTGAGTTCTTCCACTTGGGTAACTGTGCAGAGCCTCCATGGATTGGGCTTGGAGGAATTGCCCTGCGGCGGATGACCTGCTGGCTGGACTTGAAGGGCAGATGCTGGATCTTTAACCACCGCTGCCTTGTCCAAACACCTGATTCATGAAAACGAAGAAAAGAAAGAAACATATTTATAAATATATATATAAACTTGATCGGCAGTCATCGATCACTATATATATATATATATATATATATATATATTCTATATTATACCCTGGGTACTGAATATTAATTAGTACCCGAGCCTCCCACCGCACGCCTGGCTCACCGTCCTCCGCAGACTCAGGCACCTACGTCAAGGGGTTTGGGGCAGCCTTCCGGCTCAGCCACCCGGCCCGGCCTTTCGATGACCCAGCTCGGCCTTTCGATGACCCGGCCCGGCTCGCAGTCAGATTTTGGAACCGCTCCCCAACCCATTGCCCACGTTCTCTGCGGTTCAATTCCAATCAGCTCGCGTTTCACCAAAAAAAAAAACAGCTCGCTCCGTCCGCAACCCTACCGGCGCCGCGCCCCTGACCCCTCCGGCGCGGCACCACCCTGCACCCATCGGCGCCACCCCTCACCCCTCCGGAGGCAGGTCGCAAGGTGTTGACAAAGCAGACTTGCAAGGTTGGGGCTGGGTCCGCGAGGCGCAGGTGCCGGGACTGACCTTGGCGATCTGGTCCAATGTCGGTGAGGCCAAGCAGCCAGACATTCATGTGGCCTGCTGGGGAGCGTGGAGCCCGATGAGATCCAACCACAGCTATCACAGCCATGGCTCCTGCAGTGCTGGTGGCACACAGGTATTCCATTCTGTCCCCCCCCCCCGCATCTTCATCTGACATCGTCGCGTCCTGCAACTCTCCCATGATCCAGATCCATATGCTGAGGCACCCCTCTCCATCTAGACTGGGTAGACATCAAGTCTTCGGAAATTATCTCTTCCCCTCATCTTTTAAATATGGTCTCGATTAGTCATTTGTGGCAATCCTATTGGTCTTACCCAATGGTAATTTATCATAATTTTGTTCTTGTTCAGTCATAGGTGAAGGCGGTCATGGTGGCTTTGCGGAAGGGCTCGATAGACTGTCTGTTCTTACTGTAGTGCCGTCTGCACATTCAGAATTGAAGTGGGACAAACATAGAGCTTCTAATTTTCGCATTATCTGCTGATTTTCCAAAGCCACTACGCTACAGAATAGGATTGAGAAAGTAATCACAAGACTCTTTAATTCTTATCAGTGTCTGATATTGATCTTTTTATATTTTTTTCATTACATATTTACATCTATACGTAGCTGGGAGTTATAATGGCGCATTAACAGATCTAATCATTTTATTTGTTTGTTTAATTCATATGCAGTGCCATTGTGTGATAATTATTAAATAAATTAGTCTACTTATCTATAGTACAGATGATTCAACATCTCTTTTTTATAGAGATTCATAAAAAAACATCAGAGATTATATATGGATATGCCAACATATTACTTATTTTGAATTTATTCATAGATGGAATTTTTTCACCTCCAATTATGATGCTTAGAGCTTATTTCATAAACACCAGTTTTGTTCATCTAGTTGTTAATTAACATATGTGGGTAGAGGGAGGAATCAAATTAGATAGACTGATTATGAGATAGTGTCTGTGAGTCAGTCTGACGGGGAGACACAAAGGACACCCTATTATATGGTTTCATATAAATGAGAATTTTTTGTTGTACTGGCATCAGGAATTGCTTTTGATATTAAAAATGTTTCTAGAATCACAAATGTCACAATCATTAAAATTAGTGTTCCCTTCTCTCTTTGATGCCTTTCCTTCTTTTTTCATTTTCATTAACTCTAGGTTGTGGTTGTTTTAGTCCATGATGCATACTCCATGAACTATGATGATGCCATCTTTCCTAAAATTACTGGACACACTTTTATCAGGCAAAGTTCAAATGAACTAGAAGTTTCTAATTTTCAGCTTATTAATTCCTGTTGCAGCATGTTCACTTGGGTTTCTATTTTGTTTAGTGATTTTGTGGACACTTATTTATCGTTTTTGGTGGACACATTTTTCTAATCAGGCAAGCTCAAATGAACTAGAAGATTTTGTGGCAGCATGGCATAGAATGCATGAACCATAGGTGAGATTCCAGGTATAATTGAGGGATTTCATAAAATACCTTTTTGATCATACATCACTACTTGATTTCAGTCTCGAATTATCCAGACCAGATTGTACGGTAGTAAATAGCAAGTCTCTTGGATGCTCCGTGTTTGTGTGAATGTTACTATATTGAGTTCTCTCACATAGCTGGTTCAAGAATGAGTTTTTTTAACAGTATCAGATTGCTTCTACTATTAAATTGCCTGATTAGAAAAATAAATTCGCAAGTTATCAACATATCTGCTTTCAGTACGCGATTCCATCTTGTATAGCCATCTGTTAGTTGGTATCTTTCCCGTTATTCTGTATTTTCATTTTACATGCCATGGCCTGAAAGTGGGGACAAATACTTTTGTATGTTCTGCTAGTTTGTGAAGCTGCAACTGCAATGTTGTGCCACTAGGTTTGTAAGCTGTCATCCCCAGCAAAATGTTTAAACTCACATTTGCTTTCAATATAAGCACAACATTTTCTAAACATGAAATAGTTCCTGATTTGATCTTTAATTCACTTTTGTTATTTGAAAAATTCATTATAGTCTGTTTCGTCTGAGTCTCATATCCTGGACACCTCCGTAAATGGCAACTCTGAGTATGGGATTCTGATATTCATGTATATGAAACCTTCTCCATGCTCCTCTCATGCTCATGTAGTTTTTACTTAGCTATCCATTTAAGTTCACAGTTTCAAGAATGTTACTCCTGATTCAGTTCAGATCTTACCAGGTGCGAACAAAAGTGGATCTTGTATTGTTTTTTAACTCCTTGCCATTTCAACTTATTTACCATATTGTTTTGATCCTTCTGAGTACTGGTGTTAAATAATCCACCTATGATAACGTAAAGAACATGTGGATTACATTGCTAACCCTGCAAAGTGCAAATATGTTCTGCTCCATTTCCTTGGCTACCACATGATTAATTTTCTTGATACTTATGTATATTTCTTGGTTGCTCTTTTATCACCATTCACACAAAATAGAAATATTTTAGTCTGCAAATTAATTAAATCTTCCACTCTACTTTCAAAATTTTCTTGCACATGAGGAATGGTGATTTCTTACCCTGGAGCGGCCTTGCATTACTCTATATGTTCCTGTCAGTTGTGATGGAAACGCCAAGATTGATGTGGTCTCTAATAATGAATTACACCTACGGAGACTATTTTGATCTTGTCACTGTATTTGCGGTCTTATGTACTTATGAGTTTGCTGAAGTGGTTGTAATAATGAATCACACCTAAGGAGATATTCACCTAAGAAACTATCGTGCATTTGATTCCTACTAGTAATTGTTTTTGGTAGAACACATATTTTCACATTTGAAAAATTACCTAATCAATTAGTGTGGTGTGTCATTATGTGCTATAGCCGATAGGTATTGCCTCTTCTTGTGTTAGTTAGATCAAGTTTCCAGTGAACAAGCATAAATTGTTTTTCTTAACCACAGTTCCCTGCAACTGAACTGAATCTTCTTAGCTTAAGGAATATATCCGTATTTTTTTTCATCTCAGAAGAACTAAATGTTTGTTGCTAAGACCTAATCAGCTACACAATGCAATATTCAAATGTCATATCATGAAAATTTTATATGATAATTTGCTTTATACGTGAACTCTCAGCTTATATAAATAATGTTTGTCTGGATGTAATCTCATATGGGAAGCTATATTGCAATATATATTATTCTTATTGCAATGAATTTCTTTTGATTCTTGTCGAGTCAGGAGTCTAGGAGTAGTTTCCTAATGGTAAACTTCCGCTGCTTACCATTTCCTTTTCAGCATGATATTTTGTTTGCTCGATGGGTGGCAAAGCATTTCATGTTGCTTTGGAGTGCACACTTCAGAGTTCTGTCACACCCTAAAGTAGGATCAAGTGAAACTATTCCATTTTATGCTTGCACTCTCTTTGCATCTTTACTAATTTTCTCCATTCATCATACTCACAGATTCATAAGCCTTTTTGACATACTCTTTAATTTTTCTATGACAAATTATGCAGGTTAGCAGATGTTTACATGCACGATGATCCAAATCCTCTGATGGCACTTTTCACTAAAAACTTGTGAATGTGGGAATTAGAGCACTTTCTCCTGCTTGTCTGCATCACTATATTCACCATTAAGAAAAGGTAACAACCTTAACTTGCTATTTTTGCGTTCTCTGCATGAGAATGACCTAAGAAGTACCATGGTGCCAGCAGCACTTGGAAGTGATTCCCTAATGCAATTTATATGGGTCTATGTGTGAATCAGAGAGCCATTTGTTCATCTTTGCATACCAAAACTGAAAGGTAAGAAGCTATAACCATTAGTAACACTAGGAGTAGTACTACTTGATATGTCACGGCAGTATAAGCCTTATAATATCTGGAACTGTGATCCAACATAGGTGCCTTCTTTCCAACAATTCAGCATGGTACATATGCATACCATACAGTGCATGTATGGATTCTTTTTTTGCTAATAAATCTAGGCAGCTTACTTGAACTAGTGCTCACTTGGGTATTCAATGAAATGATAATAATAATTGGTGGTGAGCTGTTTAGTGTGGCATCAATGTCACAAAGGATATACAAAACAGAGTAAGAACCAAGATGATCCACCTAAGACACCATGATATCACACATGCCTTTTTTCAGCATCATGTTTTACATATAGCATGGATGCCTCCTAAGTTTCCTGCTACTAATTAGTACTTCTTCCATTCCAAATTATAAGACGTTTTGGCTTTTCTAGATTCATAAATTTTGCTATGCACTTAGATATATATTATGTCTAGATACATAGCAAAAGCTATGAATGTAGAAATGCCAAAACGTCTTATAATTTGGGATGAAGTACTAGTTAGATTTCATGATCTCTGTTTCCCTTGTTCTGCTAGAGGTTCAGTGTAACGCTAAGGCTGGTGTCGTATTAGAATATGTGCATGTTCTATTACAAGAAAAATGCCTTGCTTTAGATCAAGTTCTGTGAAGTGCAAATGTTTGATCATAATTGCAAACAATTGAGGCTTTTATGGTTCACTCACTTCATTATGTAAGATAGAGAGGTTTTTGCATGTACATATTCATTATCAATAATTAATCTAATTCTATGCTAGATAAAATATAATGGAAGTCTTATCTGGCCACACATAACAATATCTATGACTAGGCTAGTTTGGCATAAATATTTGAGGTTTCTATGGCTCCCTAGCTTTTTCAGCACAAGCAGATCAAATTAGCAATGGAAAAAAAATTAAAGAAATACAAGCTAATATTTTCTTAGCTTTTATTCACTATTGAATTTGTCTCTGAGATAGGCAATCAATTACTTCATGAATTTTATACATGTATCTTATATTGCAGGTGTTTTAAGAAGCGACTGTCATAGTGCTTGTGTACTTAATTGACGTGTTAACAAGTCGGGTCTGGGTGCTATGCAAATGAAGGTCAATGTTAGCAGCATCCCAAGTGTTTGCTGAATGGGGACATATAATATAATCAGATAGGAAAATATACATGATAACAGGCCATCATCCAGAAAAGTTGTGTTGCATTGCTGCATTCTACAAATGACATCCAAAGCTCTCAATGATGCAGATTTCAGTTCATCAGAATGAAAGACTTGGATGTCTGTGCGTCATCATTGCAGTTCTACAAAAACAAATGGATGTCTGTGCATCATCTTTGTAACTATGATAACGAACGAAATGGTACTATTTGTGATTAGCATCATGTACTATTGTAAAATATTACGAGAACATTGTCTCCTGGGACCGATTCACAATTCTTAGTAAAATTAAAATAATATTTATAGTTTAGATAATGAATTATCATTGTTGAGAAGTAATTCATCACAAGGAACCTAGTGTAGAAAGAAATTAATGGCCAAATATATGCATCCATGGAGGACTAGCAGAAAAAAATGACCCCATAACCGAATTCTGTCCACGTACGCAAAAAGAACAAAAAAAAATCGGCTAGAAACGCACAACGGACAAAAAAAAACGTCCGACCAAAAAAAAACAGGTCAGAAACACACAAAGGACAAAAACAAACAAAAAAAAACGGCCAGAAACACAGGCATAAGTAGGCAACAGGCACGAAAAAAAAAATCAACGAGCATCGCTTAGGCAGGCCGCGGGCGATCGTGCGTCATCTGCGGGCGTGGGGATGGCCTCGGGTACTGAATAATAACCAGTACCCTGGGTATTAACTAGCGCAATATATATATATAAACAAACAAACACCGTATTATGTACCTGTACTCTGGTGTGTGCACCATCTTCCTGACCCCGGCCGTCTTCACGTGGTCTCCATCGGCAGCATCGGGGTCGTACAGGTCTTGCTCTCGCACCGGAGCTCTGACACGCCTGTTCCTTACGGCAGCAACAAGCACCTGGCAGACGCTGACGACGGCGTTCCCGCTGGCCAGGAAGTGCCTGTACCTGAGCGTCCCGACGGCGAAGAGGAGGTAGCCAAGCAGCGCCGCCGCGGTGGCGATCCAGAACGCCTGGACCCACTCGCCCTTGTCCTCCATGTACGCGAGCGCGGTGACGGCGAGGATGCCGCCGAGGTTGTTGGCGACGAAGAAGTAGCCGAAGAAGGCGGACTTGGACTTGCGCTCCCGGGCGTCGGTCTCGTCGAACTGGTCGGCGCCGAACGTGTTGGCCGCGGGCTGGTACCCGCCGCTCCCGAGCGCGATCTGGTAGATGGAGACGTAGAAGACGGCGGCCTGCACCGTCGTGGGCGGCTTGCAGTGCTCCTGCCGGCCCCCGCCGTTGCCGAAGTGGCACGACTTGTCCAGGAACACGTGGCAGGCGACGGCCAGCTCCACCAGTCCCTGTTGTACAGTAGTGTACAGTCAGCAAATTAAGCATGCAGTAGCCATATAGGAGTGTGTATGACAGCAGAATGAATGCATGCAAGGAAGACAGAAAGTAGTATATATACGACGTACAGCGAGGAAGATGAGCTGGAAGATGGTGCAGGCCTTGTATCTGCCCCAGTAGGAGTCGCTGACGATGGCGCCGACGATGGAGAAGACGTAGGTGGTGCCGTTCCAGTTGCTGGCCTTGTTGGCGGCGTTCGCGTTGTCCAGCCTCATCACCACCGACATGAACGTCACCAGGTTGATCCCCACGCAGTTGACCGCGAACGTCACCAGCGCCTGGTTGGCTGCACGCCATGCACACCACAGCCAGCCACAATCCAGGGCTCAGTTTCCCATCACTGTCCCACTTATACTGTATGTAATGTAATGTAGTAAAATCTAAAACTGGCAAAGGAAAACTGCACACGAAGATGATTAATGAAGCAGTAAATAAAAACCTGCTAATCTACCGGTCCGCTACCGTTACACGTTGACCTACCGAGCATGAGGAAGCCGGCGAACCATCCTCCTGACGTGTCTCTGCGGCACGGCTTGCCGTTCCAGCCCACCGACCCGTCCGCCGTCGCCGTCGCCGTCGCCGCCGCGGCCCCAGCAGCAGCACTGCCGCCGCCATGCTCCTCCACCTCACCACCCGGCGGTGTCCCCTGTTGCAGAGGCAGCTCAGCAGTCGGGGTCCAGCTACCCTCCTGCGGATCGATTTACATATACATGCTTCATATCATATACATAGAGGGAATAGAGTACGTATTGTAAACGAATCCATCGAATGGAAACGCGTGCTTATGCCACTGTACTTACAGCCATCCCTGATCGGATGCAGCGATCAGGCTTCTTGGAGGAGCCTGCCTGCAGGTCGACAATGGTCCGGGACCGGGACGGACGATATATAATGGGAACTGAACTTGGGAATGCGAATGGATCACCGGTGCGAGATCGATCCTCTTGTTCAGAGATGACGGACGAGGTTGCTGGGAGTCAGAGGATGGATCACCATGTTTATTTATCTGTTTATTACTGGCTAGCTACTCCGATCCTGGGACCTCGGCCGGAAGATAGATCGGATGGATGGTAGGTGTATATATGCAGTAGCAGAGCAAATGTTTGTGTAGGTGGCAGGTGCTTGTTCTTCTGACTTTGTAAGACAGGCAGATAGAGAGATATATAGCTGGCAGCGGCAGCGGCAGCAAGCACCAAGAGGAAGCGGCGGCGACCAATGCATCTGCCAGAGCCAGCAGGTATAGGGGGAGGAGGGCTGCGCCGCGTCAAGTGCAGCGTTGTCTGTCGTGTAGAGGGAGACGGGTGCCATCGTCTTAGTTAATTGTTTTCAGTTTCAGTGTATCCTCGGCCTGCAATCGCATCATTCTGGATATCCTTCTGACCATATGACCATGGCAATAGTTAGCTGTGCCACATTTAATTTAATTTAATTTAATTTATTTTATCAAATCATCATCGTCTGCAGGGTGCAGACACAAGAAGTCACACGACCGCACAAAGTCAAATTATTACTATGTCATGCCCATGGCTTTGCAAAGCTTGGTTTAATTTGTCTTCTCCACCACCACCGTACCACGGCTTCCACCCGACCAGCACAGCCCGTGGGTATACTAAATCTGCAGCTAGCCCCTGACCGTGTATATCGTGCAAGCCTGCAGGCCACCAACATCATATATATCCGATTAAGTGCTCCATCCGTTCCAAAATAATTCAATTCCTAAAATCACCTAAACTCAAATTATCTTAAGTTTGATCAACTTTACAGGAAACAACAACAATATCTATAACACCAAATAATTGCATTCATGATGTATCTACTTTGGTGTCATAAATATTTTTACTCTTTTCTATAGATTTAGTCAAAGTTAAAAATATAATTTGACTTTGGCTAGTCTAAGTGGGGAGTGTCACATGCATGGGTTTCATTTGCATTTAATCGGCTACCATATAACTATTTTTTATGATATGAGAATGGTTTTAAGAACAGACAAAAGAAGTGAGTTTCATCTAGATGAGGTGCTCTTGGCACGATTACCAACTCTATATAAATCATGAAATTAAACATCTATAAAGCAATAGAATGAAACTATGCACTGAGAATAGATGTTTCATCCAAGTTTCATTTTATTTTACATGATGTGGTAATATTACAAACAATGCCATGAAACTCTCTAATGAAAATAAACTAATACAACTCTAGAAGTTGATTTAGTCTGCGACAGAGGCCGGGAGTATTAAATACAAATGGGTTGAAACCGCTTTGTTTTACCTACCAATGTTGTCATAACATGTTTGCTCACCTCGATGTGGTAACACATTTTATTAGCTACTATACGAACCCTATATGATTGGAACATGCGATGTCCGTACAAATGAGACACGATCTAGCCGTCATTTAGGATGTGCTTCTACCATCGCTTTATGGTAGAAATGCGACCTCTATTTTCTTAAATGTTTCTAAAGTAGACGTAACTTACATGCTCTCGTTACAGATGCATAGTCATAGTTTCGAAGGAATATGTGTTCTCATGTAACAGTCTTTATTCTCAATCAACAAGAACAATTGTTAGTATATCTTGTAGACAACAATATGTAGTCAGTGGTGTTGCCATCATTACATTTCACAAAAAATACATGGAAGTAGCATAAATTATTTGAATTCCTATTCCCTATCAAATATATTGCTTAGAACGCCACACAAGTAATCTTTAAGAAAATGTAGACTACAAACCAATATAAACTCTCCATGTATGGATGTTTTTTTCCTAGAGCTTGCACATCAAGGATAATAAAGAGATGCAAGGTTTTAAATCTTCGGCTAAAGGTATTTAGCGGATGACCTCTAAAACAGCTATAGCGGAGGCTAAATGGGGCTATAACGGGCTATGTCCGCTAAGTTGTACATAAACACCAATAGCTTGATCAGCCTCAAATAGCTATAGCCGGAAATTTAAAACCTTATGAAAGATACTAAAAGACATATTATAAGAAACAAAGCTTTAATTAGTAGAGCTAGTATACCTGCAAGCATGCATGGAATTTAAGTCATACAACCATATAATGGAAAACAAATCATAAACCAACAACTACTACATTTATTTATTTTCAAAAATATGTTATTGCCACTAGAGATAGACATACATGGTCTGCTATATATGTGTATTGACGTGTCTTCAAGTTATATAAAAAGGTAATCTAAAAAAAAGAGGTTTATAATGAAATTAGTGTGGCTCTCCTAATATCTGTATATGTATTCAATCCATGCAAACTCATTCGATCGTATCTATGGAGAGTTCACAAATCAAACAAATACATTCATTGCGATCCCTATAGGAAGATTGCACAACCGCGCAAGCAAGCCACCAATGCAATATCCTCTACTCCATCTCATGCTTGTAGTATGGCTTTGCACGTTTTGTCTCTTGTCCACCACCACCGTACCACGGGCCACAGCTTCCAGGTTCCAGTGGCCAGCCCTGCAGTCCAGACCATATGAATTGTTAGTCCTTAGTAGGAGTAGCAGTGTTGCATTATATTGAACGATCATGGTGGAATGGAACTGTGCAAGCAATGGCAGCAAAGCCAAAGGCTACACGTTCCGCACCCTGCAGCCTGCAGGTCACCACGGTGTGCTCAAGCTCAACTACATGGGCATGCTGTCCCATCAACTTCACCGCAAGGGAGGGAGGGGGGTGTTTAACCGGATACATGGTCGACATAACTAAAACTTTGACTATTTCTCTTGCAAACTGCAATATTTGTACCAACAAATAAAATCATATGTAGCCATAATTTAAAAACTCTTTCAAATCTTAATCCGGCGATATGATATCCATTTCATAAAACATAGTTCGTGTCATATGAGGGTAATTGTTGATATAAAAATCTTGAGACACATATACGTTTTATATATAACAAAAAAAATTGGGGGGGGGGGCGAGGGGTGGTAAGAATCACCTAATATTATCTACTTCCTTTGTCCCAAAGTAAAACAATTCCTAGAATTACCTAAAGTCAAACCATCTTAAGTTTGACCAACTTTATAGGAAAAGATAACAGTATCTATGACATTAAACAAGTGCATTCTGGAGGTACCTAGTGATACTGCTTTGGTGTCATAAATATTTATACTCTTTTCTATAAATTAGTCAAAGTTAGAATAGTTTGACTTTGGCCAGTCTTAGTGGTAGTGCAATGTGAGTTTCATTTGCATTTAATAGGCTGCATGTAGACATTTTTTATGACATGGAAACGGTTTTAAAAAGAGAGAGAAGTGAGTTGCATCTCTTAGCATGTATGATTACCAACTCTATATGGGTCATGAAATTAAATACCTACGCAACAATAGAATGAAACTATGCATTAAGAATGGATGTTTTATCCAAGTTTTATTTTATTTTACATGATGTGGTAGCCTTTGAAACAAGGCCACCAAACTGTCCACTGAGAATAACTTTATTACATCTTTAGAAGTTGATTTAATTTGGGATAGAGGGAGTATTGAATACAAAGGAGGTGAAACTGGTTTGTTTTACCTACCAATGTTGTAATAACAAGTTTGCTCACCTCGATGTGGTAACACATTTTATTAGCTACGATACTAACCTTATGTGATTTGAGCATGCGATGTCAGTGCAATGAGACACGATCTAGCCATCGTTTAGGATGTGCTTCTACCATCACTTTTGCATGACTAGGCTACGATGTAGATATGTTAGAATACTATTATGTTCCGAAATGTTTCTACAGTTGACGTACCTTACATTACATGCTCTCGTTACAGATGCATAGTCATAGTTTTGAAGGACGAATATGTACGTGTTCTTCTCATGTAGTATAGTCTTTATGCTCAATCGACAAGAATAATGATTAGTATATCTTGTAGACAACAATATGTAGTCAGTGGTGTTAGCATCATTACATTTCACAAAAAAAATACATGGAAAGTAGCATAAATTATTTGAATTTCCTATTCCCTATCAAATTTATTGCCTAGCATGACACACAAGTAATTTTTAAGAAAATGTAGACTACAAACTAGTATAAACTCTCCATGTATGGATGTTTTCCTAGAGCTTGCGCATCAAAGACAATAAAGAGACACAAGATACTAAAAGACGTATTATAAACGTATTATAAGGAAACAGAGCTTTAATTAGTAGAGCTAGTATACCTACAAGCATGCATGGAATTCAAGTTATACAACCATATCTTGGAAAAAAATCACAAACCAACAACTACTATATTTATTTATTTGCAACAATATTTTATTGCCACTAGGGATAGAGTTAGATGGTCTGCTATAGATATATTGATGTGTCCTCATGTTATATAAAAAAATAATCTTAAAGAAAAGGTTTACAGTTAAATTAGTATGGCTCTCCAAATATAATATTTTGTATATGTTTTCAACCCTGTAGTCTATCCATGCAGACTCATTTGATCATATATCTTTGGAGAGTTCACAAATCAAACAAACATTGGTTGCCACCCCTATAGGAAGTGTCGGGGACCAATACTAGGGTACCCCAAGAAGAGGAGCTAATAACCATCAACATTGATTCATCCGAGCGGTCAAGAGCGCGACTACGGCTCTTGCCGACCCCCAAGTACGCAAGCTCCGCCTCGCCCGGCCTCTGACGGCAGGGCCCCGCCTCGCCCGACCTCTGGGGCGGGCTCCGCCTAGCCCGACACCGAGGCCGTGAGCTCCGCTTCCGCCTAGCCCGACACCGAGGCCGTGAGCTCCGCTTCGCCCGACCTCTGGGGGCGGGCTCCGCCTCGCCCGACCCCTGAGGCCGGACTCCGCG